TAATTTTATATCTGTCGAACAATTTTGAAGCAATGTCCTAAAACTCATTTGACTTTTTAGTTACTGCAATGTGAAGATTTACAGACAACAATGGACTCGAAATGGCGGCCGACGAAAAAAAGAGGGGGAACGTCCCTGTAGACAGTTCGTAGTACGCTCATCCTCTACTCGTGCGATCGATTCGTGTGACCGATAATGAAATCAGAATTTGCTTTCCGGGAAAGGTTTGTTTCCACTCCAGACTATCTAATCGAATTCACTTAAAAACACAACCTGTCAAATATTTGACAGTGACAAGTGTCGATATCAATACATCCAGTGAAGGAGCCGGTTCACGACGGTGGCTTGACACGTTCAAAATGTCTCGAGCCAGGTTTGTACACTCCATACCACACTGCAAGTGCTGTGTAAACACGGCGCGGTTTGCGCCAAAGCACCGCGCCCCAGAGGGACCACGAGCATGCTTCATTTTGCATGGGAGAAAAATCTTCACGTGAAAGTCTGGCTTTGTAACGCCCACAAAGGAAAGGGAATCGATCCACAGTTACAAAAATACATTCGGAAAGTGAAACGAAACATAAAAACACCCACAAAATAAATCAACCAAAGGCTTTCTGATCGAAGACCTTAATTCAAGGTGAGCAGGACAATTTATGAGATGTATCCATGTGTGGAAAGTAGACAAAACACTTTTAAGTTACCGGGCTGCAAGGGCTAGACCCGATTGCATGAAAGCAAAAAATGCAGTTGAAGTAAATTGAGCAGTTAAAGCGACATGCCCACCCCTTTCCCACTCAAGAATTGTACTTTTTCTTGACTACTGTATGCTGGGAATAGACAAGAAAGACCGTTGCTTGTAGTACTTGAAACTCTCATCAAACCCTTTAGGGTCTTTTTCTATAGAATGAATGCCCTCAGCCCACCCCTTTGAAATAATCAATTGTGCCTGCTAAGTCACGTGACCTACAGTGGGTATTAAATATCAACAACATGGCGTCTATCAGAAGCAAAGTGTTTCATCTGTATCATTTACTGCAAAAAAAAGCCGACAATATAGGTACCGTACTCGGCCTACTGATGTGCTGGGTACTATACCGTAACTTAGTTGTATTGTTCGTAAACAACCCTCAAACCACGTCGCTATGGGGTTGATACCCGCTATCCATTCCGAGGTGTACTCACCGCACGGGCGCGCCATTAGGCGCGCAAGAATATGCGCGTTTTACGCGGAGCACACTGAGTACGCGTAAATAATTTATTCAGGTATGTATGGTCTTTGCGTATACGCAGAACGTGTGCAAGAACCCGCTTGTAACCACATGTCTTTCTCTCGCCGATTGGGGGTGCACTTCAGCTCGGGGAGCATAGATCCATGTTACGACACTAATGTGACGCACATGCTCACTGAGTGCTTATATATGTGAGCATTTTTAATTTCATTCACTTAAATGCACGTAAGTCCTGACCAGCGCGTGCCTCATGCACCCAAACGTCGGGCGGAGCACCGCAAATTTAATTCAAATTGTCAGTTTTTATAAAATCATCGCCTTATATCAAAACAGGTATAATTTGAGTGCCTCCTTTTTTGGGGGGGGGGTTAGGGGGGCAGGAGAATTTATAATTTTTTATGTTTAAAGCTTTTATGGATTTTGTGAGGGGTACGGCTGCATTTTTAAAAAGCTTTTTACGGTTTTTTTCAGGAAAGAAAAGGAAGAAGACGCCCAAAATCATTTCGATCATTATTTTGTAATAAAGGATTTGGGGGCCTCTTTTGTTTAGCTCCCCACTCGATCCTGGGGAAAGGTGTGTAGGGGGTCAGTTTACTTTTTTAGAAAATTATATGATTGTATGTATAGTTTCGGATGAAGCATGGCTTCTAACTAGGATTCCCCTTAAAGGTAAGAACTACAAACGGAAGAAAGACAAAATGTGCTGAGATACGACGTTTTAGCGAGAACAAAGGTGCGTAATAAAGATACGACGTTTAAACATTCACTTGTACGTCATAATTACGCTATATTTTTTGTGAAGGGTAAGGTCGCATTTTGGAGCTTTTTACGCGCTTTCTGGAGGAAAGAAAGGGCAAAAGACCCCCAAAAGCATTTTGATCATTATTTTGTAAAAATTAATTTTGGGGCTTCCGTTGGTAAAGGTAAATTACAGGTATATTTCAATGAAATGTACCTGTTATAATCTTTAGGAAAATTAGGAACCAAAACTCACAAAAACCTGCATTTGACAAAATATGCAGTTATGGCGTTTTTGCACTGACCCTACGATATGCTTAGACGGCACTCAGATGCAGCTGACCAGGGAGGTTACCTACGAAATATAATGAAGCTTTAATTATGAATTAGATGACACGTTGAGTTGTCCAGATTTCAATTATTTATGCCTTTCAAAATCAGACACGTCATAAAGAGAACATCACATTTAACGATGTCGACGGCAGTCTTTTGATCAAGCCGATGAAGAATTCATGATCCGCCAGCAAGTTTACCTTTGCCCCATTTCGCATGCGGAGCCGGAGATTTGATTTTTTTTTTCAAACGGTGCATCGTTTGCCGAAGGAAAGGGGCAGGCATCGTGACATCGCCCGGTGTCAATACCCCCTTCATTTGGGAGATTACAAAACTACAGTTGAAATAAAGGGGCGTTGGCTACGTCATTATGACGTCACCAGGTGGAGCTCAAGAACGGTGCCTGGTATGAAACGCATCGATGAGGTGCAATCAAATTTGTCGCTTTGCATGGCCGACATGCTCTTCGGAAAATAATCCATTTGTATTACGCTACAACCAAGAGGCAAGAGGGATTATTTCTTTGTTTTTAAGTTTTTTTCGCGGATTTTAAAACTAATTTATCAGCATTTTTGCAAGTACAGGAGACGCGTTGTTCGCAATCCCCACGGCCTGAAATTATCAAGGCAACCAACGAACAGACCGTGTGGAGTACAAGGGGTAAAAACCTGTCGAGGGATCGATCAAATGCCCGGCTCGACACAAGTCACGTTGAGACGGCGTGTTAGATTTCCATTTCGGGCACACCTCGCCAGGAGTGAAGTCGACAAAATGGAAATAGATATTCTCACAGCCTGCGGGAGCCGGTGCGCGTACCGCAAAAAAGGGAAAACAGTGCGAAACGAGTGCAGCGGATCTTTACCGGATAGTGCCATTTTTCTGCAACACGCACGTGTACATGCAGGGTCAATTTCCAGGAATGGCATTTGGGCCTGTAGCTTTGATATGCCAAGGTACGACTTTCCATGTAAATATCAAGTGTCGCGTCATGTTTAAAAAACTGACCGTATATGCACAACAAAACTGTGTACTATACATTTTGTCAGTTCTTCTTCATAGAAATTAAAGAGACCGTACAATAGAATTATTTTACAACAAACTTTGAATTTGCACCTTTGTGTTTTAATGCGGGCGATTCCAAAGAGTGCGCCGCCAAGAGTTTGCACTGCGGTTGCCCCTGTACGCAATGCGCGTTTGAATGGGTTGACAACATTGATCTCCATTATGGAAATCAGTAGTTGACAAGTCCGCACGTGTCGGATGTCGATCTCAGCAAGTTCTGCAAATTCCAGTTGTGAGCGTGGTACTCAGTGCAATTCCTTCCCATGATTCAACGCATGACACAGCAGTTTACCAAACCAACGCAGATCAGTTTGTTAAAACAGAATCCCAACACATGTTGCGTCTGAAGCTTAACGTCGGCAGGGAAAACATGCAAATGACAGAAATTAACAGATGAAATTCAGTTTGCGAGAACAGATATTTCCGAAGCCCACGAGTCTCATGAAAAATGCACAGAACCCAAGGCAAGCTGCATTCTGACAATGCTTTATTAATGTGAATGAGGCTTGAATTTGTGAGCGGTTTATACACAACAACGTGCCGGGCTTTTACGGTTCGAGTGTATCCTTACTGCGTGCCTGCTCCGCAATCTATTATAAAAGAATCTTACAATAGGCGGGCCAGACAAATCGATTTCTTGAGTTTCAGTTTGATTTATTATCATTTTTTGAGTGCACAGTTTTCAGTTTCCCTTAGGGACAAAACTGTGACTTTCGAGAGGCACTGCGAAGCATGAAATTTTATTCCATTATTTGAAATTTACAAGAGAATGACCGATTGAGATCGGAGCTATGCCTAAACAACACCTTTTAAAGGTGGAAATCTGGTTCAAGTGTATTTAGTAAAGGGGATTATTTGGGCTATAGAAACCCTCGAGTTGAACAACAGTTTCATTTGCTGAATGAACTGACGGAGATACCGCTCCGGAGCAATGAGAACATACAGAATTTATTTGGTTCTATTCCTGTACAGAGCGCATAAAAAACTACCAAATTCAGGGCCCTAATTATTGCAGCGTCTAAAACTTGGTCTCAAGCCCACTGTGGCCCATTGTCCAAAAAGAACTATATCTCAACCATTCAGAACCGTGTGCAAATAAATAATATACATCTATCACTGAAAAAGGGGGATCTGTGGCTTTCAAGTTCTACGAGGCATTTTGGTTTTGCGTTTTATTTAAAGGCTATGTGCATCCCAGTGAACGGAAAACGAGGTACTTTATTAGATACGGTAAGTCTTGTGACGTTCGTGGGATACCGGGACTGTGCAGTATACACCGTGATATGGTACCAAGACTCAGGCCTCATATCAATGACGTTTGAAATCCCATGGATTTATTGGAAATGAATACCTTTCTTCAGAGAGTGGTAGTGTCGGCCTAATACAAGGACTTGAACTTGTAAGTGGGCCAACCAAAACTCAAGCTTTTAGCAGGTGGCTGGGGTAAGGCTTGATGAGCGTTTTCGTATTGTCCAGTTCTTATTGCACAAAAAACCCCAATGTTATGTAGGTTCCCATCCCTCGGACTAGGCTGGTTTGGGGGTGGTGAAACTACAAATTTCAGTATCGAGCTGTAACATTTCCCTACAGACGAATAATGCTACTGAATCTGTAAAATGTGCAGACATGCTCACTTACCTCCCACGACAACTCCATCCTGTATCTTCGCTTGGCATACGTGCCAAAGACCACTGGTAGCTATCACTGTGATTATTTGGAGTTCAGCAGTGGTCACGTTTTCACCAGCGTCCGACGGAGACATTGTCCCCGTTGATCGCATCCATGCATCGGTCGCGGTTTGGCCTGTTGTCGCGGTGAGTTCCGTTGTTCTAGCAGTAGTGACGGTACCAGTGGTGGTGGTGTTTTCGGTGTTGTTCCTGCTCCAGTCGGACAGGTTGCCCGGAGCCACCGAGCTGCCGAGGTCATCCGGGACCGTGTCGTCCGGGAATTGCATGGTTGGAACCTCCCCCTGGGACAGCAGCCAGGACCCGGTGGAGATGGCGAGGGTACCCAGGACGAAGGAGATGATGCTGGCGACAACCCCGGTGATACAGATGAGGCGGAAGCAGCGCAGGATGACCATGGTGAAGGCTGGGGGCCTCAACCGCTTCCTCAGCGGCCGCGGCTGCGGGGGAGGGCCGGCAGGAATCGCCGGTGCGTGGTTGGAGTTGGTCGACGCCACTCTTGAACTTGGCTGCGGAGGCTTTGCGCCACAAACAATCTCAACGAGTTAACAAGTGCGAAAATGCCCGAAACGGACCCGAGTTCCGACCAGTCCCGGCTTTGTTTGGGCAAAGTGGGAGATGGTACAAAAAGGGACAGGTTTTGTCTTCTGCCGGGCAGCAACGTGGAATTTCTGCGTGACCATCACATTGGTAACGTTTATTTTGTCAAATGGAGCGGCTCAAAGTAAATGGGCCTATTAGGCGATACTCACGGGAGCAATTCTTGAATCTGGAGTAAACGTCGTCTTGAACTCGACTCGGGTGTTATCCAATCCATCGTCAGTTGGTTGAATTCGGCAGCGACCTCCTGAAAGGGTCAACGGATAACAATGTCAAGGCAAGGTCAGGGGAACCAGACTAAAACAGGGCGTTCAACTGACGGACCGGTGCGGGGCGGGCACAACACTCCTCCCCGTCAGAGCAAGCTGAGCCTTTCCGCCTGGCAGCCGCTGCAGTGGAGTCGCGACTCGGCCTCATCATCCCGTCAAGCACGGCCGGCCACGCGCGCTGCATTGACGTCGCGAGAGCAGCGTTGCATAACCCACAGCGACGCTCCCAAATTATCACCGACGTTTCTAGTGTTTAGTCCGTTGCCCTGTCCATTACACCGTGCCGTGCAGCTTGCGAACAGTGTGGCAGTCCTGCCTGACTTGATACATGAAAGTCCACACAGAGAGACATCTTTTAACGATGACGGTTCACAGCGGCACCACTCTTTTCCACCGGTAAATGTATCTGCGATCGATAGAGAAAGTGTCAGGTAAAAACCACCGTGTTCGCGCGCGCGCTGTTTCACAGCATGGAGCTGTTAAACAGCGGGCAGAATATTTCACCCGTGTGCAACCGTTACGGCTTCATGATGCGTTATGCGACGACTGTTCCATGAATGCAGCGTCTACGAAGCCGCGGTGACGGCATCATGTTTTGGTCGTCAAGCACCGATGCCTAGTTTACTGACGTGCACACGGACAACGGTTTACCGTCGTTGCCCAACAATCCCACTACGCGGTTTCTAATTCATTTCTAACGGGGGAGAGGCATATTGGCTTAATGAAACCCACTGATCTGAAAAACCATTACACCCATCTTGGATTCACAAAAATTCACCATCAGTCATTCCCTTTGATACAGACACAACGACAGCTAAATGAAAAGTTAAAAATTTCTTATACTAATACTGAAAGTGCATGCCTGATGACCGATGTATGTTTAACGTTATCAGTTATTAACGTGGCATTAGTATTTATAAATTAATAAATACTAGATAGGCCTACGATACATAATACAGTGGACACTCAACTGGATTATTTCTGGTTGCCGCACAAGTTAATGGACGGAGTTTCAGTGGTACTTAAGGACATCTACGTCTGCGCCGACCGTGCATCATTTCAGAAGCGTCTATCAAAACGTCGCATCAAAGACGCTTGCAGCCCGAGCGTCAATGACGTACACGACAGGCATATTTGCGTGCAATGTGCCACTGTTTGCCCTATCAATTCCTGCTAATTAAACGCTACGGTAGCGTTGATATTGATTGTTATTGATCACGAAAGGCGGGTAAAACAATACCGGTTCATGAGAAAGACGGAGAGAGATCACTCCAGTGTTTGGAACGCTAAGATCCTTGTATGTCTAGCACTTACCGATGTGCGTCCCCAGGGATTTAACAATATTGCTCCAAGCCTCAGACGACGAGTGCTTGTGGATATATTTAGTTCTGTCAGTTTGTGTTATTTGCCCTTTGTTTGATTTTCTCTTCTCCTCAGGGAAAACATATCCACTCTTCTTTGTCATCAGAGATAGCGGGGCTTTGAGAAGCATTGGATAGAGTGTTTAAAAACCACCGGGAGGGAATTCCCAAGCGCCGGTACTAGTAATAATATATTCTCCTTTCGCCATTTCGCAACAACTCGGGTTGGTCTCGTGACGGGACTAGACAAGTGGTCCCCCTGCAACATTTTCAATTCTGGGAATATATTTAGAAAGAAGGTGGAATTTAAGTTTGAATCGAGGTTCTTGTTGACGTTGTACATGAGCTCATCTCGGTATCTCTCGCTGTCGGTTCTGCAAGGGCCGAACTGGGCTGCTCCGCAAAAGGGGGCGGGAAGGGCAGTTACGTTCACCCCTTGGAAGGTTCACCTTGTATGTGGCAGTGGTCAAGTGCTTTTCCGAATCCAAAATCTTATTGGAATTGTGAGGAGTATGGAAGAGTGGGTGCTTTGTCGACTGGATGCTTTTGCGTGAAAACAGGATGTGGGGTGTTTGTATGCAAGCATGCGAAAAACATTCAAAAGGATTCCTCTTGGACCCATCAAACAGCGAGTTCACGGTCCTGTTCAGTGCGGAGAGCCTTCAGTTTTTATGGAAAATCGAATGTGTATGTGTGGGGGGGGCAAATGCCAGTGCCAAACCACAGGATGCTGGTCCGCAACCACGACACAGCACGCAAAAAAGAAGGCATCTGAGTGGCATGCATTATCATGAAGGAAGCATTGCTTACCGGCTGGGATAAGCCGCAATATTATGTCAATTCCCTAGGAAAAACTGTCGGCTATAGGAATAACCAGGAAAGATTGTGACCATTTACAATGTGAGAGGAGGGGGCTGTGCCAGGTAAAACATAACACATGTAACGCCATTTCAACCAATGATTCGACCTTGAAAGAATACCGTGTGTTCACTGGGCCATACTTTTTCTCTCCATATCCAAGTGCATCTGCAAATTATTCCAAAAATCTGTTATACATGTACTTTGGTAGGCCTAACATTGTCAACGTTTACCGAAGCGTTAGGCTGCATGCTAATCTGCATGCAGTCTGCAGCTAGGTACCGGTTTCCACACGTTCGAAATGTGTGGAGACACGATGAATATAGTCGTAGCCGCAGCTCTCGAGCCCTGCTTCGGACATGGCTGTAATGTTTGTCAAAGTACCCGTATGAAAGTCAATGTCGGCTTACATGCATGCTCAAATGAGTCAGGACAGTCCCATTGGTCCACGTCGCCCTGTCTACCCCGAATTCAATCCCTTCCCTCAACGTGAACGGCCCGACGCTGGCAATTTCAATCAGTTTTACATTAGATGGGCCTATACGTGGAAAAGACGTGCGGTGAAATGGACTAGAATTCTGGGAGGAAATTGGGTCTGATGTGGGGTTCCTTTGTGCCTTTTCTCGTTACGTGTCCGTAATAAAAACCGATTGTTGATGCTGCCCTTTGCTTTAACGGGACGCGTACTCTCATGTTGTTGCAGATCGGGGTAATGATCGCTTAAATGTTGATTGACTGATATACTAATGGCTGGATCCTGTAGGATTTCGAGTGAATTTAATCTGCAACACGTATATTGTCAGTGGGAAAAGTTGACTCCGGAGCAAACACACAGGTGGAGTGGCTTGTTCTTGACACGCGTTTCTTGCTCTCGCACTCGAACGGCAGGAACATGACCCCAAAACACTGTTCTCAGAACAGGATCACACACTACCTCCTCGTCTTATTTCACAAACACACGGAAAAAGTCGTGAGAGTTTGAACGGCCGCAAAAATAGCGAGCTGGCTTACCGTATAAAGTCGGAGACAATAGAACGTTTTGCAAAACTGATATTGATAGTGTTCTGTAGTACAGAAATTAAGTTCATTTTTAAACTGAAAAGAATGCAGCCCATTTATCCAACCATTAACCCTCGTCGCCATGTTGCATGTTGCTTTCTACTAACTACCAGCAACACCCGGCTGTACGCTCCCAGCGTTCGAGCGGCCGACCCACGAACAACAAATCGAGCTGTTCATGGACACACGAGAACAAGCCGCCCAAACTCAGCCACAGTTTTTCTTCAAACAGATTTTGCAGTGTTTTTTTTGTCTAAGCTAGTTTTATCTGATCACATACCGTCCACTTACCCCTGTTAGCAAGACCCAGAAAACATAAATATTAACCAAATCAGACAAACTAAACTTGAAATCTGAACCCAAGCTGTAGTGTTTTATGTATATACACGAGCCGGCATTATATTTACAACTTTGCATGATTATTGACCGAAGAAGATGCAAAGGGCAAAAATCAGACATCGGACATTTGTTATTGTTTTAATATTCGAAGCTTATTTTTTATAATAACAACTTTCCCCATCGTTTGACCACAGAGCTATAGCTTGACAGACTAAAAACGCTTATAACTTGAATTCGTGAAATGCTCAGATGATTTTTCTACTGTCAATTGTTTGTGGGTTGACTGGCATCGTTTACTTATGTTGTCGTGTATGTTTCCCTGCTTAATTCATAATAATGGTGAAATAAAGGGAGAATGCTAGCAGGTTAGTATGTTAGGACATACGGGAATACAGATGTCCAATCTTCAAACAAGAACTTTAGTAAAAGAGGCGCGTATTCCTTTATCTCCTCACTATTCAGAGGTAAGTCCATTTAAAAACTTAATTCCAACAGATTTTGAATATGGTATCCGTCTCGAGCAAAAGCACCCCCTTATTTCATGGAACTGCCAGGCAGAGAGTGCTGCTTAGCAAAGTTTGTTGCCAATATAGCTTATATTTGCAGAGTGCCTGCAGCCAACAACGATACACATGGCATGAGACTTACATGGATAGCGCGCCCCACAGAGCATGCGTTGTCCCAGAATAATCAAAAACCAAGACGCCAGCCTTGTCCAATATGAGTCAAGTAGCGCTCAACCAAAAGCTGTTTTACTGAATGTTTAAATGGTCCGAACCCTGGGGACGAGATCCGATCTGCCTTGGCAACGCAATCGTGTAGTTTCCTGTGAAACGGTTTGCTGCCTCACATTAAGTGGGGGTGGCAAAAGTTGAAAATTTTCTGGAGCATAGTGCTTCGCTATCAGCTAATATCATCAAAACAAAGTAAGCACCCGGCGCAAGCGACTCGGGGCCGGCTCAGCTCCCACAGGGAAGATGCGCTTGAGAAACGGGCCGCAACCAATAGATTTACCAAAAGGGCCGCAACACCCACCAGGTTGCAAAATTCCCTATGTACATAATAATCAAATATCAAAAAGATCGACCGAAACTGTTTTCGACAGCTGGCTAGATGAATTTAAAAAAATCCCTTTAGGTGCGACAAAACTTTAGAAATTGAGAAAGAGAAACCGTAATGTTGGCCCAAATACACGTACCAGAACCTTGAAGCTTTACGTCGATCCAACTTGGTCTCGGAAGACTGAACTCCAATAACAATTCAGTGTTATTCTTTCACGTCACCTACATGCACATAACGGGGAAACATACTGGCTCAGAAGAGCTAAGAAGTACGTGCACATTCTGTTGGCGTTACTCTTTATTTGTTCAAGACATCCAAGGGCCTCTTACGGCGTGCTTTTGAAAAACGTTGGAATGGTGTTGGATCTGCTACTTTCATCCATCAGATCCAACCCATAATAGACGTGATATCCTGAACTTAATCAAAGGAGTCGAGTCCTATGACTGCATCCGATTCACTTGGCACCAACTGGCGATACAACACACACGGTAATGGAAGTAACAGAACCCACTTACCTTTTCAAGTTCCTGCCCCGCAGCCAACAGTATATATCTCCATGCTACACTCCTGCAGGCCTGTTCTACACGGCAGATATTTCTTAACGTCACGCTGTTGCGCTAAGCTCGGCTTGCTGTCCTTAACACTCACAACACCCCTATCCAAAGGTGTTGAAACCTATCTACGTGTTGCCCCTTGGGACATCCTAACGTGCATTTAGCCTCAAGAGGATTCTCTATTTTCGTGGTATCCCCTTATTTTGTATGCCCTGTAACGTTGCTCCTCTACAGCCCTCGATGCTCAGCTTTGAAGGCTTCACACTTGGTACATTCCATTCAAAGACACCAAACCTTAGTGTACGCTGGCAACTCTTGATTGTGTGTATTCTAGAAACTGACAATGACGCGTCTTAATAATGAAAGCCATAAATGCGTAATGAAGGGCGCACCTGAACGCCGATTAAAGTGCAGGCATTTCAAAGGTATGTCTGCAAACCCGTCGTTGAGTGCGCGGTCGCCCATTTTACTGGAACAACTCACGCCCCAGAGGAAGGAAACGATACAACGCCTAAAGCCGACAGCGTGAATACCAATTTGAACAAGCAAATTTATTGTGAGCAAAAGGGTGGCAATTTTCACACCAACCGAAGATCGCCCGCTTAAATAATTTAGTTTTAATAGGTTACATCAACCTTTGCTTTAGTTTGGAGTCGACGCCATAGGAGTAAAGTTAATTGTACAGAAGCACGCCCTGAGGAGGGCGCTCGGGAAGGGTTGATGGCTTGGCACTATGATTGGCTACATTGCACATGACCTGTGACCTTGAGGTTATCTCCTCCTGTGAGCGAATCGTTATCTAAATTTTTTGGTTCGCCAATGGCAATGCTTTGGCACGGAAAAAGTGTTGGCTATGATGAAAACACGGTCTTGGCACACAGTGTAATAATTTATCTTCCCGTTACGTATCACTGATCACATGTCTTTTGACGATTTCAAATCACTGGTTATCTTCATCAATTTCAGATGAACGAATAACGTGTAGTCAGAATATTTTCAGTAATGTGGAATTAAGAAAAAGAAAATATCGAATTGATAACTGCAGCTTGTGAAACACACTGAACGAGCTCGTGCGCGTTGTTAGCTGTGACCCCGTGTGACGTATTTCCTTCAACTTTGTGCAAGGCTATCAGCCCTTCCCGGCGCCCTTACAGGGCGCTGGACAGGAGCGAACTTTTGTGTAAGCCGTTTCTAGTGTGGAGCCTTAATTTTCCGTTTAGTTATCCAGATGTAAGAAAAGCTTGTATCTTTTTGCCAATTAATACGTACCAAATAAGCATGCTGGAATTAAGGGGAAATACTCAAAGTATCAACTTCAGACAAAGCTAGATAACTTGTACTAGCTTGACAGTTATTACAAGGGTGAATTACAAGAGTCAAGTTAAATGCCTAGTTAGATGTGGGTCGAGTCAGGTGTGGTTAAACACCAAATAGGTCCTTAAAGGCACCTGCGTGCAGGGCATTCTGCTGTCAATTTGAAAGGCACATCGACTTAAAGTCTGTTCCAGTCAGGATGAGTCTTGCTCAAGTTTACTGACTGGATAAAGTCAAGACTGAACTGGTTGAGTGACGTTGTGCAAAACGTAACTGAGCTGCGACTTTCGATTTGCTGTAAGTTGATCCTAATTGATCGATTCCAGGCGGACCACGACCAGCGCAGTCACGTCACGCATCGATTTAACGCGTCTGTATGATGGCCTTCAGTTCAAGGATACACAGTGCATGTAACGAATAAGCGAACTAATTAAGACGGTATATGCTAATTAGGCTACAGAGAGCCAATATAATAGGCCCGTGCAATGCGAAACATGAAAAACACTTCGGACAATTCAAAACACAGTGCGCCACCAAGAGGCCATTTTACAAGTTTTTGGTTGACAAAAGCATTGAGGAAACATTTGACCGATCAAGGGCATTCTGCACCTCACAAAAGACCACCACCTTTATATAATCAAAAGCACTTTCAAATGTTCAAGACAAACATTGAAATTTAAGTTTCCTGCGCGCACCCCAGCTGGCCGCACTTTGTCGATATTTTCCCACAATACACTGCGAAAGCCTCTCCGTGGCAACCACTTGGCGGCGCCTATATTTCTCCCTAGCTGCAAAGAATACGACAAAACACGAGTGACTATATTGAAAGCAGCCTGCGATGGCGAAATGCATGTATATCAATAAGGCAAAGAGAAAAGGCAAAAGAAACTGTAGGCTATGCAATTCAGCAAGTACACAAGCATTGTGCAGTCTTTTGTGTAGACCCAAATGAATAAATTTGCCTCAAATCTTATAAGGGGGGACAGAAGGTCCAGGGTATCTAGGTGCTCAGCTGAAATACTGCACACCAATGCTACCCTTTTACGACCGGTGGTACCAAAGACGAATCCAGAACGAAATATTCGAGGAAAACAACAATTTAGAAATTGTGTTCATATCTTTCTGACGGGTTAAACAACTTTTGGGGGCGTTTTACACGCTTCGGGTGAAGGGGAACTGAATCGATAAAATTCGCCATTCATTTTTTACTAAAGGCCCTCCCCTTCTTTTGGAGGGGGGAGCATAGTCGTAGGGCGCTATTTTCTTAGCAACGGCGGCTCCTTTGGTCGGAACTGCACTCCGGTGCTTCACACTAGGAACTAGGAAACCCATGCATCACGGTCGCATCTGTACCAACAAAATGCACATTCCTGACCAACAAGGTTCTTTTCAACCGATGAGGGGGCGATTCTGCTCGAGGCAGATACTGATTATGTGAACTTAGGCTAAAAATACATACAAGAAAAATCGACTTCACTGCAGTACTTAACCAATTATCTACGGTACGTTTCACGCTCAATTAGGCATAGGTTCCCGCTGCGTTCACGAAAACTACACCAACTGGAAGGGCCGGTCCGCTATTCACAGTTTAATGTAGTTTATTTTGCTCAGCCCAGGCCCGTTTTCAACATCGGACATTGTTTCTTATCACAATACTTCAAATAATTGGCCACACGGCCCCTCGTTTCTGCCCTCAGGTGGTGTACAGGACCGGAATAATGCACACATCATTGACGTGCAGTAATGATATCATAGCCGAAGCTCGCCACGTCCACAGCTTCCATCTTCCTATGGTCCGCTGTGCGTCTAGAACGTGACCTCTCCTTCGGAATCCCTATTTAGACCCATTATTTCCCTGCTATTTTCAAAAGAATTGAACCGCAGAGCCGACTTCAGGCAAGGTCGGAGTGTCAATTATATTTTGAGTTCCCTGGACAGAACACAGCCAAGAAAGGGACTGCAATGCCCATGTCTCTAATAAACACAGGAAACTGTCTCTTCAAATGCTCATTTTCGCTAGGCGTTTTTTTTTATTTTGGAAGCGCCAGATGCGCCGAGTCAACTCAGCACGGTTAATTATTATGTAAAAATGTCACATTAAAAGTGCATCTCATTGTAGATGGAATTAACCGAACAGTGAGAAATCTAAACTTACTCGTAACAATCCTGGAAGGTGCTATCACTAGATTAAATATCACACAACCGCGACGCTAAAATAATTGCATAATGTTGCATGTCGATTTGCATTTCAAAACTCGTGTAAGGGTTATTCTATTAATTCAGAGTCCTTTTGTGTTCCTGTTGCACCTGATCTCTGTAATTTTACACGGAAATATCACTGAAATTGATTTCGAACTATTTTTATTTGTTTGGCAGGTAATTTGAATTAATTCATCACTTTTGGAAATTACAGAATGTGTTCGGAACTTACAAAATCATGTCAGATGCGACAGGGACACTGAAAAAAATTGGACCCTTCTTAAAATGATCCATCAGCTTTACTGATTAAAAGGAAAGAATCTAAATAAGTACGCTGCAGGTTCACTTGCGGTGATGGGGCCTTTCTTTCAAACCTTTCAGTCCGGTTCATACTTCAGGCGAATGTGAAAGCGAAGCATATTTGACGTCACGGCAGATTTGCTGCAGCGAATTTTCGCTCGAATTGATGTTTCCACTTTTGCGAATATGCCGCGCGAATACTGGATCTGACGTCACAAATTTGCGATTGTGTTCGCCTTCTCGTCAAGAAAAAAACAGCCGTGAATCAGTGGGGAAAGGAAGAGGGAGGGGGAACCAGGCTTCAGGCGTAGGTGGAATGCTTCCGTACCACTGCAAAATCACGCGAGATCTCAACGAGAAATCATGGCAGACAAAACTGCCCCTTCAAAGCAGCATGTCACAGGCGGACCAAACGATATTAATACAATCTTGTTATTTTGTGGCAGAACGCTCGCTGGCCGCAGGTGGCCCACCGGCCTTTCCTGGTTCGCAGGCGAAATAATAATAGGTACAGGCGAGAAATACAATATGCACGAATCTCGCTGAATCGGGAAATAAAAGTAAAGACACCGCGTGAATGGAATCTAAGAGCGGACCAAACAAGTCCGTCACTCGTCGGCTTACATAATTACAAAGGGTGTCACAAAATGAGTTACACGGGAGGACCGTGCCTGGCTGCATTTTGTGGAGTTGTTGATCAGAAAGCCAATTTCCATCCAATAACATGGTCTATAACAAATCAGAAAATGACATGCTTCCCCACTTGACACTTTCACGGAATCTTAGTTTCCAAGACAAAATTGTAACTGTGCGCTCTTTTTTTTTCACGACAAAAGAAGCTACTGATATCGATGCCATAAAGGCTGCATTGTGGAAAATGCTCATTAAAATTCATTGTATTTGTATAAATACATTATTCCTTTAATTTGGACAGTCGGTACAAGCTATATTCAATATAGCTGAAGAACTTGTTCCTAAATTAGTTTCCCTTGTAAAAAAGAGCGAAATAAATCAAGTGATCTGAAATCTCCCGTACAATTATCCACTTTATTCAACCGTTTCAGCTGTCAAGATTATAAACGGTCACACTTAAGTCGCGAATCTTGCCCTATACCGGTACCGCGTAATTTTGGAGCCTTGAAAACCTCAAGGTACCCGAATGTCTTCTAAACAAGTCGTATTTCCTGAGCCTGTCAGGTCTCTGGGGAAAGAAACTCGAAAGCACTCAAGCGGGGGGGGGCAAAAACGGGTTCTGAAAACACGCAACGTTTACACACACGAGTGCATATTTTTAAATTCAGCCCGCCTCTTCACTTATTTTAACGAATCACTTTGCAAACCCGGTTACAAATTGAATGTCCTAAAATAGGGATTTGGCGAGTCCGACGGAGAAAAACAGTCCGTATTTGCCAAGCCATTCTGTCGGGGCATTTATACTTCGAAAAACGGGTCCTTCCGCGCGTCCCTGGATCGACGCACAATGAAAAGGTGCACGTAAGATGACCTGCGATCAGGACAGAACAGAACGCAAAACAGCTCAGAAATTCCAGTTTAGAAGATTTGAGACGAGGACCACAGAAACTGCTTGACGCGACGCGGAGCAATGATTGAGAGATTTACGATAATTCTCGGAGGGTAGGGAAAACATCCTACCTGTTATATATGGCATAACAGGTTAAAAAACGGGCTTCAATTTGCGACATCTCGCCAGAGTAAATTAATCAATGACAGCGTATGCGGCCTTCCTCTCGGGAAAATGTCTGGGCTGGCCGGTTTGTGAAGTGTCACTCTGCTGAGAACGAATGGACACATGCGGACTTTTCAAACTTCACTGAGGATAACATGTTAAGACAGATACCTTAAGCATAATAAACACAGGAAATAAGGCGGCTTTTCAATAAAAGGGCTGCTACCCTCAAGGATTCGACCTCCCTAAGTTTCATTTTTTAGTGAACACTTTGCAATGATCTGTTAATAAATTTAGTAAAACATCCATCCACATTGGCCAATCCAATCCCCCCAAGATTTTCCATAATTATATGTGACCTCTATATTCTGATTATAGTTTTCGTCTAAGAAAAAACCAAACAAACAAACGAGAGCATACCAACCAAAACCAACTAACCAACCAGCCTGCCAAACCGTTTGTGCAGAATCTTCACAGGTAAGCTTCTTCGCTAATGAAGAAGTAGCGCGTATGGCAACTTCCTCGGTTGCAGAGCCGTATTTAGCGCCACTCCCGTTCCGTTTGGGAAGAATCAGTTTGACGTCAACCAATCGCCTAACAAGGGCTTCATCTGCAGATCTGGAGAAACCTTTTGGGCTAACGTTTTGTGCACTTTCGGAAAGACGGGCGCTGAATTCTTTCATTCCTTGAATGACCAGGTTGCGCTTCATGACAGGCCAATCCAGATTTTTCAGCTTTTCAGGAAAAGAATTACAACGAAAGTCCTTAACCAAATTGGCAAAGAAAGATCACAAGAAGATGTTAGATAGCTCAACCTGCACAGTGTAATTTATTCAATCAAGACTGTAATAAATTCTGCACTGTAGAATGCGAGCTGCGACGTGGAAATTTTTTGACAGTCTCACAATACAAGGAAACAGGCGTGTCATCACAAACGCAACATCAGGGCTGTACACCGTGATCAGGGCTGGCATCGTCAGTGGCCTTCAAGTTCCAGACAAAAACATCAGGGCTGCCATGCATATTCCATTGTTCATTCTCCACCACTGCGGGACCGGACGTGATCGCTTTATTTGGTGCAGGAAATTGATGCATAATCTGACAGCATGCTCCGGGGTAAGGAATCACGCATCTCACGGTGAAGGTCACACGGTGTGACCCCGCAGGGCTTCGGCAATACAGTGTGACCACGCAGCTTTAATTCGACAACGTGCCAACCATTGTTTTGACTGTAAACAGGCATGCATTCAGCCCAGTTTTCTCACTTGAAAAACTAGAAATCAGTTTGAAATAAACTGAGCCTTGCGTGGTTCAAAATGGTGCTACGCTGAATTACAAACAAAATATCATCAAGGGGAAGCGGGGGTGGGTGGGTAAGGGTTGAAGGTGCAGCTCCCTTCACCGCTTAATCGGCCACTTCAAGAGATTCTTTTGCTTCCAAATCGGACAGCAAGCTTACCAGAAAAAACACACACACCAAACCACGAGTCAGGACAAGATCTGTGACGGTATCATGACGTCACGCTAAATTGCAATCTAGTGGCTAGTTGTGGACGAGTCACCATTCAATTTTTCATGTAACCTTGACCAAGGAGTTAGATTTGGCGTGAATTGAATCGGTGGACGGAAAACCAGGCCCCGTTACCACCAGCCCCTCCACACATTACACACGTACTGCCTGCTGCTATATCGAGCTCGTAAACCATCAGGCCGTGCCGTGCGGACAAGCGTATGCTGCGCGTACGAACGTACAGCGTACTACTTAACAGCGAAGTACTGGCTCGGATTGACTGTCAATCACGCCGTACGTCGGTTACATCGGCGACAGTGCGGGCGATTCGTTTACAGAGGCTCAAGTACGTGACTAAGTCATCTCCCCAGACTTAAAAAAAATAGAAATACGACCTTCTTAGAAAAGGCTACTCCTTTGGGAGCGTCCTTTACCTAAAAACATAAATGCACGCTGGTCAAACACGTCGTGGACATTTGCAACACCTTCATAGATTTCAAACAGGATGCTAATATCTGCTTCAGGTTCATCATATGCAGAATTTGCTTTAATTATATAGCATATCTACCATTATGTACATTTTCTTTAATTGTTTGTACAAAAAACTGTTGGCATGTAGACTGAGTTATCCATATTCTCAACTTATCCATGCGTAAATACATGTGTATTACAAAAACGAAGCTTAATATTTTCAGTAATGTAATATCATGTACAGAACGGTAAAAATCAGTCCTCTGAACAATAAAAAGAATCAATTACACATATTTACCAATGAAAAGAATGTATCGAGTCGATTATTTACCCCATTTTACATTTCCTTTCTTTCCTTTACATCTAACCTTTACATCTAACTTTCTGGCATCAAACTTACTTGGTTGGCAGCCGTATGTTTCAGCCCCTCGTTAATGGTTATTTATCGAGGTATATTTCATTCGGCCTAACCTGTTTGCAGTGGTAAAAAAGAGGGAAAAGGCTCGTTGGTGACCTAAGCAGTTGCCTGGAACAGGGTTCGAACCGTAGACCTTGGAAACTACGGCCCGAGCGTTCTTCAAACCAGGCTATTTAACCCTACATTGTAACTCTACCCAGGACTTACATGGCAGGCTTCCTAACCAGAATGATGGGGGGACCGTCGGCATTGGAGTTGGGGATGGACAGACCTGTTGGAAAGTGGCCAATTTTCCTTGGCCAAATTTTTTTAACAGAACCCCAATGATGCACATAGTGTTTCGAATGCGCATGAAACCAATAAACTGCCCGAAAGCATAAGCACAGTAAAAATATCTCAAAACCAGGCTTCATCTACGATTACTTTGTTGCTCCCGTTACGAAGGGAAACTGCGTGACTTTCTTGGATACATATATTTTCTGTATAATTGAAAAGCATCGATGTGCGATCCTGGAATAGTAAAACGGCTAACTATTCAGACATTACTGATTTGTCCGAGATTTCACTTTGGCGGTGAAGAACAGATTTTATAATCATGGTTTCTAACGATGAATATATAAAACAACTGGGATTGGAAAGGTGCAACTTGCCCATGAAACAAACACGAAATGCAATACATTATGAAAAAACGCTAGTTTCAAAATTCAAAGCTTTCGCTAAATATAAGTTGTAAATACGCGTCAATGTAGCAAGAGAACGCCTCTGGCTGAAGGAAGAATAATAGAAAGAATAATGCAAAGAATACTTCCGGTTTACAAAGTATAGGTGTACATACTCAGTAAAACTGTGACCTGGACAGATTTATGTGTGTACATATTCTTAGTTATACTGTGTGCTTGGTCATACTCTTTGAACGCCAGAGGTCACAAGATTTACAGAAGCTGGTTGGGGTGAGCGGGGTTGACGTGCATCACCCCCTCCACATTTTTGGCAGTGAGAAATGTAGAGTGATGTTTTACGGTACTCTTGAGGACGCAGAATGCTTTGTTCAATGGAGCTGAACGTCTCCAGTTGTACAAAGCAGACATGAGTGGATGAGTCTACATCCATACCAAGTTTCAATGAACTCTGCTATGGCAATGCTGAGATCTTGAAAGGGGTGAAACACCCTGCCTGGCCCTCTTTCTTCCCCAGACTCATTGTTATATCTTGGGCCTATCCATCTGCAATTGCGATCTTGTGAGGTCAAAGACGCTGCTGATATATTCAATCTAACTGCTGGGATTGCCCACACCAGAAGGTGGTGCGTGTCTGAAACAAGACATGCAGTTGCACGAAGGGTACTGCATGTTCCACCGCCTTCTGGGTTTGGCATGAGTCGGATGCACACCCTGCTTGCATCAGACACACAAAGCAAACATTCTGGTCTAGAGAACTGACTGCACATGAAGTAAGTCCATCACTAGTCCCTGCAAGTCTATCGTAAGTCCTTCACAAGTCATTCAGTCTGGAGCCAAGCCATCATCTATTCAAAATGAACTGTGACAAAAAACATTCCTTTGTCGTTGCTCACCTCTTGTTGAGTACAAGTACGACTGGTCTTGTGAAAGGTGACAGGGCTTAAGAAGGGACTTTGAAGAAGGACAGCCAGAACCAGTCAGTCCACCATACAGGTGCATCATGAAAGAGTTTTACTTTCAAACACTGTGACTGGTATAAACGGATGATAGCTCCAGCCGTGTTTTATACACTTTGCACTCGGTGTTACCATAAAGCAACTAGAAAATACTACTCCAAAAAATAAAAAAAATAGCTTAGGCATTTTTGCAACAGCCTTGGGCAAATGTTGACATGGGTCGACAGCGAATGCTACATCTTGTGTGGCAGTAAAACATTGCTCATTCCACATGACAACAAACCAGGTGAGAATGTCATGAATGATGAACATGAAACCTGTGCATGAGCCCATCCAAGTGACACACGTTGACCGACCTTTGGATTGGATTCTAAAAAAAATCCACTCAATTCACTCAAAACAACAAAAAAAATTATCCAGCATACACTTCAATCCTGTATGTGAACAAATTTGGCTTTTACAAAAGAGCATGCACTTGGTATATCTTGCTATTAACTTTAGACAAATGAAGCAAGAGTTCTGCTCTGGATAACTAACTGCAGAGCACTAGAATATGAATTCACCAATGGCCGGTGCCATGAAAATGGTTAAACTCGTTAACAAGGTTCCTGGCCTCTGCCACATGGTTTGCACATTTTCCACTCAGTATACCACAGGCACCTTCAAATTACTGTTCCAAAATGAGAGAGAGAAAAAATAGATCATGCATTTTTGAAAAAACCTTCAACGCATGCCGACATGGGTCGATGGTGAATGCTATATCCTGGGTGACAGTTATACATTTGTGACTCAAATGATGAGAGATCATAAAACTAACCAACTTGAAACTGATGATGCACAAGCCCACCCAAGTGAAACAGGTCAACTGACCTCTCTGGGACATTATTCCTCTCTGGGATATCACTTTAAAGACACTGTTCACCTCACTCAAAATACATTAAAAAATAAAAAAAAATTTATAACACACTTTGCTCGCGTGACTGACAAAGGCTTCTGGAGATCGCCAGCCAGTAGCCACCTTCCAATAACCCTTTTTAAGAGGCAAGTCATATTTGGTCTTATTTCACACTGCTGTTGGAGCTGTACACGTGACAGGATGAAAATGAAAATCTGCTGGTTTCTTGAAAAAAAAAGAAAGAAATTTAATCTTACAGGTGCGCTGTACAACACTGTCCAATTAGTGCAATGTTACTAAATTCTGATACTTCAAGTGACTTTTCATTCCATTGCAAAAAAGAACAAAAGAATACAAACAAAAATATACTGCTTTTATTTCTCAAGGGGCTCATGGCAGGACTAAAATTGGGGGGGGGCTTAATTTATCTGGACTGTTAAGTACCTTCAGGTCACTTTCATTATTTCTGTTACCTTTATAAACAATCGCTGAGTGGCAGTTGCAATCTCATGAAATCCTGTTCATGGTGATTTTAATACATGTAAGCGGATACTTTTTTGAAGTGACTGAATTAGACAGATATGCCAGAGAGGAGAATACCGTCAAAGATGAATTATGGGGAAGATATAAGCTTTCATTCTAGACAAAAAGCCAAGACATGATGTCTGACTTGTAATTTTTCAAACATACCTCCCCTTCAAATTCTCAAACAATGGAGATTTTGTGGGCAATGACCTCTGTCTCAAATGTGTTGCTTGATAAGGGTCAAGGGTCAAAGGTCCAATCTCTGCCCTGTTTCTGTCATTTTGTTTACACCTCACCTCCCCCAAAGCAGGATGTCTATGCATTTCTTACTTCCCCATGGCATTCAGGGGGTCGTCAAAGATGCTAGGAGCGGACTCATCAAAGATGGAGTCGCCAGTCACAGGCTTTTTTTCGGTTGCCTTCCTCTTTGCTTTGGTCTTCTTAGGCTTGGAGCTTGTTGGAGAGGCGAAAATATCATCTGGCCAAGAAACAGAGATATACAGTGAGGACGGCTAGAGAGCGAGTTTGCACTTACTCGTTTGACCGCTGTTATTGACATATATGTACTGATATTTGTGTTCTGGGGCAGGACGTCTAACCACGATAATTTCGCAACAGGAAAATTAACAATGCACACCTGCTTGGTCTTCGGTGTTTTAAGGCACTGTAAGCTGTAGCCATATTTCCGTTTCAGCTTTATCTCTGCCTTGTCTTCAACTGATCGCAGGCCTGTTTATTTCGCATGGATTTGGTTCTCGACCAATGATCTCAACTCTGGTTTGCTCCATTCATAATGCAGGTTCTAGTGTCAGTGAATCATTGGATCACTGATCGTGATCCGGATCTGTGACAATCAAACAGGCCCCCGAGCGTTGAAGGCTAGGACATCATATAAACGATCTGGGACTCACATGTATCCTGTATTGACTGAAGCCACCAGGGACCATCTTAGTGTGCTGAACACAAAGGAAATTGTTGACGCATGTGCCATTGTCACTACTGTTCCCAAGAACGATTTGCTTACAACTTCACCAGCTTCAGCGGTGATTATGTTTGTTACTTTTTCAATCAAACTGAAAATAACTTAATCTTAGAAACAGGACCATGTCTATTTCCCTGTCTTCCATTGTAGTTTTCAGGTTTTTCAATGAATTTTGCTTGTCCTCCTTCCTGTGCATCATGCTCTTGTTTTATTAACCCCTTCACGCCGGGACGCATTAAAACACGCTGTAAAAATTGAGATCCTCAGCCCGCTTTTCAGCTATTATTTTCGGCCGACGCTCGAGTGAAAGAAGGCAGACCCTGGCTCTTGTGTATAAGGTAATTGGTCTTTGTGTGTAGCCCAGAAATGAAAAGACCGAATTTGCATCATTATCATCAGCTTCACAATAGTCCCCATTTTGAAAAGAGGCAACGGGAATGTGGAAGCTTGAGTAGAGCCGCATGCCACCAAACAATCAGCCTTTTCACCGTGTAATTCAAAGCTTGCAGAGAATTTGCAGTTTGGCAGGTGGCCTTCATGGCCAAGCGAGGCTGGAATTCTTGGAGTCGGCTTTCGGAAAGAAATTTCCATCGAGAAGGGGTTAAAGGAAGATCATAACATTCCTTTAAAAAACACACAGCTCATTTACACGTCATGAATGTTGATTTCTGAGACATATTACCATGGAAAGCCAGCACAAGGCTGCAACTCTACATCGAAGCGTAGTTTGGCTCCCAAGAGTACTGGAATTTTTGCACAAATTCATGCAGCTTTTGCATACTCATTGTCCGGTATGTTACAAACTGCACTTGTAGTGAGTGCAGGTGTATCAAGAGTGCTGGCTGTAAGTCAAATCACTTGCACTGCACTTGCACTTGCGCCGACCGAACTTGCTGTGCCACAGGAAGCAGTCTCCCTTGTTTTTTTCAAGTAATGTGTCATAACTTTGTAGATTTGTGTGGTAATGTGGCAACAAGTGGCTTCAGTGACCTACATGGACTGACTGAGGGCATCCAATCTCAGACTTTTTATATGACTTACATGTGTAAATGCATAAATAAGGGTTCGAGAGCCAAAGTTGGGGTTCCAGCCGAGCTCAGCGGAAGGCATCATGCTTTATATACAAGATAAAAGCAAGAGCAAACAAGGACCAAAGAACAGAGGAGAAGCATTCCTGTTAATTGGCTACTGTAACTCCAACTACTTGAAATAGCCACCAGACCAAAGTAATGGTCAAATGGTTCAGGGACTGCATTGGTGACTTCAAGGTTGTGGGTTCAGGTCCCTCCAGCAAGCTCTCAGACAGCTCTTGTGCTATACAAGACCAAAGTAAGCTCCATGGTCAAATGCTTAAGGGACTGAACTGGGAACCACGGCGATGTGGGTTCAGGTCCCCCCAGCAAGCTCTTAGCAACTCTTGGCTATACAAGCCGAAAGTAAGTTCAATGGTCAAATGGTTAAGGCGATTGAACTGGTAACCATGGGGATGTGGGTTCAGGTCCCACCAAACAAGCTCTTAAACAGCTTTGGCGTATGCAGCGCTCATTACTTTTCATTACACTGGCTAGGGCAAAAACTTGGGACAGAGTTCATTCACATACCTTCCGCTGGGTCAGCAAAGAGCGATGACTCCTGCTTTTTCTTCTTCTCCTTGGGCTTGGAGCTGGGAAGGTCATCAAATATGTTGGTACTGTCGCTGAACAGGTCCGCATCGGGCTTCTTGGATTTGGTCTTTTTGGTGGCTGGCTTTTTGGTGGCAAACAGGTCGTCTTCGTCCAACTGGGTAAAATAGCATGGTATAAGTAGAATGCATAGACACTCTCAAAAAAGCTAGCCGTGGTCAGACGGGGCCAAATGTCATAGGGCTGCCTTGTAGAAAATGCAACTTGGCATATTTGTGACCAGTCACCAAAACAAATGAGCCGAAAGTCCGAATTTTCAAAAAATGAGACACTGACATTTTTGAATTCAGCAGAAAAAGAGCTTTCCAGAGGTATGTACATGGAACACTCAGGGTAAAATCATAAGGGACAATGTGACATTATTCTGGCAGCTTTGTGTCTTTGTTGCCAACATTGTTTCAACATTTCTGACCAGGCATGAATAATGCTGTCATCAAAGTTCCCCCCAAAATCGCATTTTTAAATACATGTAAATGGTCTAGTGAAATATTTGGAATTAAATATGAGACAGGTTACTCTCTCCAAATACTATAAAAACCCAAAATTGACCTCCACTTCAAGATTTGACTTTGAAATGTGAAAATAGGAAACTAAAGAAAGAGTGGAATGCGATTTTACGCTCATTTTGTCTTGATGGGTCACATTCTAATGGTGAGGGAAACAGGTCGGCTGAAATTCAGCACCAAGAGACGTATGCATCATGAGACTTGTTTGTGGTTTGTTCAGTTTAACAAATATTTTCTTTGCTTGTCACATTTCTGTAATCAGTGACTGTGTGGAATTATAGACTCAGCGTGCAGTAACACATCGTGTTATGCCCAATTACCCCATCATGTTTTTATTGGCGGACACTGCAATGAAATTTCTACCATGTGTACATTTGTGCACATACTATTGAAAATTGGAGGCACAGAGTCCATACCACAGTGCGTCCCTCATAATATTTGTAGTCGCACATAGTTTCTCCAGGATGTAGTCAAATTTTCCATTGGGTAATGTAAAATCAAAAATAATACAGTTGAGCGACAGCTGTTTACCAGTGTTGTAGTCGTGACCATCATACTACTAGACAAAAGACCAGCCACAAGACCAGTCACAAGACCGGTCATTAGACTGGTTACAAATAACTGGGTATGAAGTGATGACCAAGGAATGCTTTTCTTGCAGTTAATCTAAAAGCCTGTGACTTGAATTTAAACTGGACGTCTTGGGCTGGTCCTATGATGATTTTGTGGGGCCTTGTGATGACCTTAAGAGGTCTTGACAACAACACTGGTGCATACCTCTGCCTTCTTGGAATCTTTCTTCTTCTTCGCCTTGCTTGGAGATGCTGATGCAAACAGATCATCGTCATCATCATCAAGGAGAGGTGGCGCTTTAGTTTCTGAGTAAAACAAACGAAAAAAAATTGTTCCTCTAACTTTAAGCCATGGTGACTTCCACAACACAGATTAAAGTGAAGCTGTTGTCTACTGTTTCACTGTTTTTGATCCAGATCAAAACTGTTCAACACATGGCCCACATTAAATTGGGTTGCACTAGAGAGAATCTTTACTAAGCCGGCTCCATGTTAACTTTGGCAAGTGCACACAAAGTAAACTCCTCACTGTGTGACAAGAATCCAATTCAGAGATAACAATCACTCTTATAAAAAATTTTTGATCTGAGTCAAAACTGCTTTAATCTGGTGAGGGCAATTTTTGATCCAGACAAACAAACCACTGTTGAAATGGGTCGAGATTTTAGTACTTTTAACCACTAAGAAAATTCTCCATCTTGTCTGAACATTTTGTACCATTCTTTTTGGTTGTATCTGTTGCAAACAGGTCAGTGTCCGCTGCCGGTGCCTTTGCTTTCCCAGCCTTCTTCTTCTGTTTCTTGCTCTCTGGTCCGTCCCCGAAAAGATCCGCCTCAAATGGATCAGACTGGGGCTTCTTCTCTACTGCTTGCGATTTGGTACCAGTAGCAAACAAGTCCTGGTCAACGCTGAGCGGCGACTTTGTCCTTTCGCTCTTCTTGGGTGCCGGCGTAAAAAGGTCGTCCTCGCCGATTTTCGCTGGGAGTGCTGCCTCGGGACTGCCGCTGAAGAGGTCGTCGTTCCCAAACATGTCCCGGGGTTTGGCCTTGGGCTTGTCACTGTCTACTGACACTGAAGAGGGCGTCGTCTGACTTGGAGCAATGCCCAGAGGACTACTGAAATCAGGAGCACTTGATGGAATGTCTCTCTCTGTGGGAAAAAAGGCAAACGTCAGTTTGCAGAAAAAGAGTCCAGTTGCGCATGTGCGTATGTCTGAAGCCTTAAATGCCCTGATACTTTTAATATAGGTACATATGAGTAACATAAATTAATGCCTCACATAATGTACCACATTTGCACCGACATACATCCATGACATAAGATGTACATGACCTACATGTACGTTTTTCAAACTTGGATGATGGGGATGAAAAGCAACCATTCTATGAACCAGATAAGTCTTGAAGGTTTGCATGGTGAATAGGTACAATAGAAAGTAGGTTTGCGGTAGCACCATGGACGTATCTCTTTTGTGAGTATTTGCGGTTCTGAAAAGAACCAGTGGTACTCGACGTTNTGGTGCTACCGCAAATCATTCTATGAACCCTTCTGATGAACATTCATTCATCCCTAGGACTGTGCATTTTAAGCCTAATGAAGCACACAGTGTCTGTGGCCTTGACCAGAAATTCAATCGCATTTGTGAGCCACTCTGTGAAAATGAGTCATACGTCCCCGGAGCCACTTTTTGAGTTTTCATTTGTATTGGAAAGAGCAAACTGAGGTTTTTGTTTTCACGTATCACTCAGTTTGGCATCCTGATGAAAGCGGATACTCCATGGTGAAAAATACTGTGGGTTCCTATTACACTGTGTGAAATTATTCTAAAGAACTTTTTACTCCAAAGTGACTTTGGCGACTTAAGACTCATTTTCACAGAGTGGGTCACATTTCCGCTATCCTCTCTGCACTGTTGCTTATTGATGCATCTGGTGCTCCCAAACTTTGTTTAAAATCTGGGCGATTTGTGTCACTCTTTGTCGGAATCAAGAAGCTGTCAGAATGACGGGTCAATTCTGGTTACATAGTTTGGAACATATTGTGTTAGTGAAATACATAGACGCACGGCAATGGACTGATGTTACAGCATGTGAAAACATGTATTCAAAAAAAAAACTACTATGAATGCCAAACAGCATGGTCCGGTGACATGAAACATGAAGAGCGCCCTCAAGTGACTTGCTTAAGAAAGTAAACAATGAGATGAATTACAGACACAACGGAACACATCCTCAATAAAGAAACAAAACACAGGGGTGAGATCTGAGGAAAGTGAAATATCCACAACACAATCACCAGAGGGTTTGAGGGTCCCACAGCAGCATGGAGTCTATGATAATATACTTACATGTTTGCCTTGAGACACCCCTTAAAATACCCATTTCTTGTGTTCTATGCCAACTTTTATACATGAATGTAAATACACCGTTATGGTAATCCAGGATTTTCTACATTTTGCGAGAGATTGTTTGAAAAATCCTGAAATCAGGAAAATTTCAATGAAAAAAATCCTGAAATCAGGAAAATTTCAATGAAAAAAATCCTGAAATCCTGACAAATCCTGACAAATCACACCCCTGAAAACAGAGTTCTGTTTGCTGTAAGAAACCACATGCCAAGAATACCGTATGCCCCATTAACACCATACCAGGTAGGAGGGGCCTGTCTTTACACAAGAAGGCATTCCAACAACTCTGATGAATACTGTGGTTGAAAACATCAACCCTTGGCCCCAAAATTTAAAACTTTTGGCAACTAATTTTGTTTTAAATACCCCGGCATGAAATTTTGCGATTTCATTGATTAAGATCCATTCAAATGTTTCACTCTTAGCATTTCACACATAGATTAACCCCCCTGGGTGCATCTATAGTTTTGCTAGAACGTCTCTTTTTGTTGCAGGTAAATAATATTCCCTCTTGTTTGATACATACATAAATGTACATTACACGAAAGAGCACTTGTACAAGAAATACAGAATCTATACTTCATTCTTGAATGTGCATGCACATCAGTCCAATGAGGCACTGCACTCCCAATGCTGTATGTTAAACAGTGGCCCATGCTTTTGAACACCCTTGAAAGGGCTGTACCTGAGGTAACACTCGCCCATTCTGGTATACAAACTGCCTTGTACCACATCACAGAAATGCAACAGAACTGCACCTTTGGGTTTGCTGGAAGTGACAGGGGGGAATGTGACATCGTTCGTGTCCAGGGGACCAGTCGAGAAGTCCAGCGGGCGGGAGGATGGTGACCGCTCTTCAGGCAGCGGCTCGGAGGAAGTGTTGAGGAGACCGGAGGAGGGGCTCAGGCTGACAGGAATGGCCGTGGTCGCCCCCTCAGTGCGTAGCCGGCGTGAGGGGGCACGACGCTTGGTAGATATCTTGGCACGTCCCTGATTGAAATTTTTGTAAAAGAGATATTTCAAGTCACATTAGAAGGACTGAATGTGCTTTGCACCATTTCTGTTAAAAACATCTTTTTGTACGTATACATCAGTTGAGTGCATATCACACCGATCTCAATACAAAAGGATAATTCACAATACAGTTTGCCACCAAGAGGTTGCCATGGAAAGGCCATTTATCCCTTTGCATTGTGGGAAACAGTTGATGAATTCTATTCCCCGACTGCAACAGGGAACTCAACTTTTTATCATTTCCAATATTTGTTAAAGGAAAAAGGTCCGCACCTGTATTTTGAATAGTAGTTTTATTTAATCCTTGCTTCTTTCTACTGCATGGGATGTTCAAATTTCCTCAGCTCATCTACCGACATATACTCAAATGTAAATTGTGGCAGGGCGGCTGTGCTTTTGACGATGGTAAACTTGAAAAAACAAAAGGCCTCTCCGTGGCAACTCTTCTTTGTGGTGCACTGTATAGTGAAACATCCCTATCACAGTGCATACTTGGAGCACGCCCATCATTAGCCTAACTACCTTGACACCATCAAATTCCAATCCAACTTTTTGGTTTTTTTTGGATACAGTATTCTGACAGTTCCAGCAGCTGTAATTCGTAACTGAGCGTGATGTCCCAATTTTGTTTCAAACATAGAAAGCAACAGTGGGATTACTACTCGGTGGAACATGGCAAATCCAGGAAGGTTCCATACAATGTATATGTTGTCCAGTCTCACAAGCCATCCGTTCAGGAGGCGTTGAGGCCTACATGTAGTGGTTAGGGTTTGTGACTCATGAACATGTGGCTGGGGGTTTCAACTTCAGCTGCTTCTTTAAGGTGTCGTATGTAGTGACCTTGAGCAAGTCATTTTATGCCCAATTGCATCTCTCCACCCAGGAGTATAAATGGGTTATCTGTGAGGGTCGAGGTGGCTGTTGTGTTTGTGCCAGAAATGGTATCAGCAAGCTGTATACTCCCCAAGGGAGTAAAATGTCTCCATCCTGGTTTATTTTGGCAGATTTTTAACTTGAGGATCGGTCTTGTCAAAGCATCTGAATCGGACCCTCTTTAACAATTCATAAACAGGTGTTGCACTGACATGAGTCTACGTCCAAAACTTTTTGAAATCTCAGAACCTGTAAAAGCCGTGCAATAATGTACGACACAATTCCCTTTGCCCCGCACCAGTTGCCACAAGGCCATCTACTGCAGTGAAAGCAGAAAAATTAGTAACCTTATTTCAAGCCGCATCTTTACGGTGGCTGTGAAACGTGTGCAGCATAAATTACTGGAGATTGTTCGTCACTACTTCCACTGACGCACAAGCGGCTTTAAAGAGTCCCATCAATGCAACATGAATATTGATTTTACATGGGCAGCCAATCACAACATAATGTTGGGTGGTTGCCGGATGCTGTTTACACACAAGGTTGGTACATGTGCGTGCATACCCTGTACACGCGTACATGTGCAAACGTTCAAAGCTGTATATTTCTAGCATAACTTGCACTCGCAACCACTAAACTATGATGTTTTTTTCAGGTGTGTCAATATCGTCAAAGCCCGTATTTTATGGGGGAGAAAACGTACGATCGTGTTTTAAAGAATTTCCCATCAGAAATATGGCTACATCATTGGCAGGTCTGACAACGGCATCACTGTACAGGTCTGTATTTTGCAGTGTTGTAGTTGGGCCCATAAAAAGTCCCTGCAGGTCCAACACGAGCCATCCATTTGTTCCAGTGAAGTCACAAGAGCATTTTGTTGTCATTTTTCATCCTGTTATTTATGACTGGTCATGTAAACCAACTTGTGATGGGACTAGTGAAATGACTGGACTTCAACAAGTGCTCCATCTTGTTGTGAAGTTCCAGACAAAAGCCTTACTTTGTTGAGGCTGCTGAGAGTATTAAGTGTTGGCGGCTCGTCAAATGACACTCCCTCCGGCTCCACTTCCCTTGAGGGTGGAGTTGCCCCTGGTCTCATCGCTGTGGGGTCTATTGCCATGTTTGACTGGATGGGAGGCAGAAGAGGGTATAATAGGTTATAGAACATCTGATTTGGCATGAGGGCATGCAAGATGAACAAAAGGGGGAAAATGAGAATATGATATTTGAGATTGAGGTTGTTATCGCTGCAAGCTGGTGAGGGTAAACACAGGAAACAAAAGCGGAGGACTCCCAAGGAAAGAAAAAAACAAACGAGAGAAGGAAACTCTGCAATGTTTGAAATGACGCAAGATGCATGCAGGCATGCCATAACAAAGGCTGTGCAGGGCAACCTCATGCTTGCTTGCCCTGAGTGTGAAAAACTGCATGCCCCACATCCATGCCATCAATAATTGTCAGTCAAGGCTCATTCATATCCTGGAAGCATACATGACATTATGTTCAAATATGCAGCAAACGCAACATTTATGAAGTTCCTTTATGGAATAATCAATAAAGCAATATGATTTGTTTAGTTTTCTGTCATTTAAAGAAAAAGCAGGGTACTTTAACCCCCTCCCTTCCTGTGTTAGCACATACTGTGCATGTTTAATGGAGCACTCAATAAAGTGAAACTGTACTTGTTTAATTTGAAAAAAAATATATGTTCATGTACTTAAACAGTAAACAAACTCCCTAATATCATCAACAATATTTCATTAATATTTAAGATCTGGCCTTATTAACCAATTGGTCAATCACTATGACAAAGTAATACATCCAATCCATTGAATTCATCACATATATTTGTTATTTGTCTACAGTACTCGTACATGTCAGTATTGTCAAGTCTGGCACTTCCCAGTACTATTTATGTAATCATTAATTCTTCTTTTATCCAGGGTAAAGCCCTACATCAGTTATAAACTGTTCTCCAAAGCAGCTCTCGGGGTGAGGGCATCGAAAAAATATTCAGTGTCAGGCAATGGAGGAAGATTTTACACAAACATTACGGGGGGTGGGGGCGCGGAATCAGGTAGGGACTGAAAACCCAACCACACGTTAGCCTGAGGCCTGGGTGGGATTTGAACCCCCAGGGGTTGCAGAGGTGGAAGGTGAGGCAAGCACCACGGTGCCAAGCCTGACTATGCAACTGCAGCAGAATTCATTAACTGCTCCACTGCAGTTGATGAAGTTTGTCTCTAACCCAATGTGAAAACATTGCGGTGCAACCAGATGAGTATTAAGCAGAGCTTGCAAGCGGACCAATGATTTCATGAAACTTGGCCAACATTCCCTGATACATGGAATTCCAACAGGCCTGCCAACTCGGGCAAGTGATAACCCATCCGTGCTGGAAAGTAGGTCGTCGCAGATAATGTTCCCTCCAAAAAAGCTTGTATTTTTTTCTTACAAGCTCTCAAAAAGCACTCAGCATGCAGGTTTTAAAAATTAAACTAGGGAAGGGGGAAAAATCAGCATTACTTCAGGTTGTAGCTGGTTCCCCAAATTAAATCTAGCATTCTTTATTTGTGATGTACCTCCGTGTTAAGCGTTACAAATGGATAAATATCTTTTGTGTGTATGAATGTGTTCTTATCAAATGTGTAGCTACAAAAACTAAAAAGCCCCAAAACAAAAACTAAAAACAAAAATACACACATTATGTTTATCTCTTCTAAAAATACACACGTAAAAAAACACACAACAAAACCAACAAAGACATCACTTTCATAAAAATGAAGTTGACATTGGGTTTCAAACGTCCATAACCCAGCTATTTGACAATGCAACACAAAAGTCATGCATGCTCAGTGCACATTCCAAACTTAAACTTCACCTCCACAGGTAACAACTGTTAGTCCAAGTTTGGACGGGCCAAAGAATGTTTCGTCCTACTTTGTTACAAAGTGAGCTAAATACTGTGGAAGTGACTTTGTTGATTTGTCCGACGATGCAAGTGCAGCATTCATTATTCCCATGCTCTCCTCCTGATGTGAACCAACCGCACCTGGATTTGGCGGAATGTGCTCTCTGTGGGGCTTTTTCGCAGCCTCGGCAAAGAGGAGGCAGTGGTACCACTGACGGCTGAGCCCAGCAGCCTGGCTGCCTGAATCCTCTTGGTGCTGGCTGGTTTGGGTAGAGTCTTGGGCGCACAGGGGGCCTTGGAGTGGCTGTCCTGGGGCAGAGAGGGTGACAGGGTTTTGGAATTCCGCTGCACTTTAAGAGAGGCTTGCTTGGGGGATGACTTTTTCACCGAGGGTCTCTTCCTAAGGTGGACGCTGCTATGGGGTGGATTGCGCTTCTCGCTTGGTTTTCGCCTGACCCTGGGCCTTGGAGAGCCTGGACAGGGATTCCCCTGGTGGGCTTTGACAACCACTTGATCGGCCGATCGGTTCAACAGCTTGCTGCTGGGGAGTGTGCTGGAGTCAGCCCCTCTGCAGGCCGGAACAGAAGGGGATGATTTGAATTTACAGGAATCGTGTGCTCCTTTGGAGGGTGCCTTCCGCAGGTTCCTGGTCCTTCTAGGAACCTTTGGAGCATTACTTTCAGTGCTTTCACCAAAGCAGAAATCCTGTGATCGGTTCATCAATTTGCTGGTGGTTAGGGTTCCTGGGTTAACAATTTTGGAGCCCGGTACTGAGACAGGTTTGTGTCTCTGGAAATCTTGGGCTTCCCGGGAGGGCACTTTCCTAACTTTTTTGGTTCTCTTAGATACATTAGGGACTTCATTTTCTGCATTCCCACTGCATATTTCATCATTACTTTCAGCCTGATCAAAAGGCTCGATCGTCACACGGCTGTTTCTTTGTGTTCCAGAGGGACAGCGTCTGTGTTTCTGGAATTCCCTGGATCCTCTCGACATCTCCCGGCGTACACTTTTAGGCCTGCGGGGCACTTTGAAGACTTCAGTCTCCTTACATCCCAGGCCTGAGTCCCTCTTACTTTGCTTGCCAACAGAGTTTTTGGGAGAGAAATTCACGCGCTGTACCTTCTTGGAGGGCCTCCAGGGCAGTGTAGACAAAGAAGTGATTTCTGGGAAAGGTATACTTGGAGTTTTTTGAATGGGTTTGATGAGTTGCAAGGTAGAATCGGCCTCCGATTTCCTCTCCTCTGGCTTGGACAATCCTTCAGGACCTGACGATGAGCCCCGAGCATCATCTTCAGCGCAATGTCTTGACTCAAGTAGGGGATCAGTCAGCATGCTGCTTTTTGTAGAAACAATTGTGCCTTGCATTTGGAAAGTATCAACTAGGGATATGTTCACAGGGGAGAGGCAAAGGGGATGGTTCTTCTTGTTTCTCAAGTTCTTAGGAGGTACGCTTGGTGGTGACTTGCTGGTTTGAAAGCTCTGGCGATCCTGTGTTGGTGACACAATCCCCGCATCCACTTCGGCACGTTTCCTTTCGAGCTTCCTCATCAGTTCAGATTGCTCATTGGGCACTTTTTGATTGCAGGAGGGGTTCCTTTTCTGCTTGGAACTTTTGGCTGGTGGAGATAAGCCCTCGTTCAGGGAGTCACCAAGTCTGTTAGTTTCATTCCTCGTGTGCCTTGATGTTGAGGTGGCAGACTCAGCTTGTGCCCTCTTGTGTTCCAATTTTTCCATCAATTCAGACTGCTTGGGGAGTTGATGAGAACTGCTTAGCTTTCTCCCACTCTCAGAATTTTTCAGTGAAGGCAGGTGACCCTCTCTGGGCCCTTCTGCGTGCTTGTTATCAGTTACCAATGCACTTGATTCAGCTTCGGCCTTCTTCCTCGCCAGCTTTTTCATCAACTCTGATGGCTCGCTCGAGGGTTCCTGGGAAAGGCTAGGCTTTCTCCACCTGTCCTTCTTTATGTGCCTTCCTTGCTCATCAGCAGTGTGAAAGTCAGTTGTTGGTACAGGTTTAGATTCAGCTTGTGCTCTTTTCCTTTCAAGCTTTTGCATCAACTCAGATTGTTCTTTGGAAGTTTCCAGCCCTCGAGTTTGCATGCGCCTCTGCTCACAGTTTTGATTCTCTCGAGTTGAGGGAGGGCTGGGATCTATGGAGGCTCTCTCGATGGCCTCTCTTTTCCTTGCTAGTTTTGCCATAAGCTCCGACTCCACTGTCAATGCTGACTGGCTGCAAAACTTGTAACTGTTTGGGCTTCTAACTGGGGGTGAAACTCTTCTGCTGCTGCTGTTGGATTGAACAGAGGAGGCTGATGAGGAGCGCCGAGAGACACCAAAATCAATTTCTGCTCTCTTCCTCTCCAACTTTGCCATCAGCTCTGACTGGCCTGATGAAGGCTCACATCGCACAGGACTTTGACAAGGGCTTGAATCAGTAGAGCCAAATCTTTGGCTTGGGATGCCGGGAGGGAAGTTTCTGATTACTTGTGAAGTGGCCTTCTGGTCACTCCTATTCCTCTGAGTGGTATGCACACTGGTCCTTGGCAGAGGTGATGGAAAAGTCTTTGTCTGATTTCTGCCACCACTTGCGGTATGACTGCTCTGAGAGAAGGGTGTAACGGTATTTGGATTTGTGTTTGTGACAAAAGCATCCTGGGAGTTTCTGGGAGGGAGTGTTGGAGGTCGTGATGTCAGGGACAAGGGATGAACCTCTCGAGGTGGGAGAGGGGGAGGCACTGGTGGAGGAGGTGGGGGCGGAGCTCGGGGCAGTGAAGAGTTCAACCACGGGGAGGTCTCTGACTCTGAATCTGTATCCTTTACAGTCTCCGAATCCAGTGGATGCCGCATGGTCAAGAAACAATCATTCTCATTAAGCACTGTTCTGAAAGGCTGCTGAGAATCACGGCTTGTGTCTGGGTACTGAAAATAGCCAGTGTCCATCATGTGCCTGGGGGGAGGCAATGCTGACTCTTCTTTTTGCCCGTGTTTTCTGCTCAAATCTCCTCTCTTGTCTGCTGGAGGACAAGTCTGACTGCTCTCACTTAATGCCTTCAATTTGAGACGGCTCTTCTTCTCCATGGATGCTTTTGATATGGACAGTTCGATAGCTGCCTTCCGTTTCTCCATCTTGTGTAACAGTTCAGCATCAGCTGAGGGAGGTCGGACAAACCTGGAGCTTCTTCTGGAATGTTTCCTGACCAGGACACCTTGCT